ATGAGATTTAGTTTTCTCATATAGTTACGGAATAAAATACAGCAATTATCGATTAAGATTTCATGTGAAAAAATCACATGAATAAAAAATCTTTAGTTTATGACAATCTTTTAATTATATATAATTGTTCAATCTTTTATTAAATGAGTCTTCATTAGAAGAAAATTTTTGTCTTTTTCTCTATCTCTTATAATAACGAATTAAGCAAGATCAAAATTTCAAAATTTTTAGAATTTGGAAATTTTTCCTTGATATTCAATCCTCGATCATCGATTATTTTTGAATTGAGGTTACATAAATTATAGCAAATTATTTATTCATTGGATAAGGATAATATTATGAAACTAAATAATTAAGATAAGTTAGATGCATTAAATAATATCTTATAGTCAGACGTATACATATATATCGTATATAAATAGCGGATGGAACAATGATCAAATGCGTATTAAATTAATTATAAAAATATATCCGATGTAAAAAAAGAAGAATTGTTGAATCAATCAATGTATGACATTTTTATAAATTTTAATTATTTTTAAATACAAATATAGAGAATAAGAATTTGAATATTCTCTCATTAATCTTAATTTATAGAGATATTTGTAAAAATTTATTGCTATTATTACATTGAAATTTTAGCATTTCATGAAAATTATCATATATAATATTCGAAATTAAAATTTTTACATTTATGGTTCTTCTAAATTTAAAATCACTGATGCTCGTCGCTTAAAATTATGTATTATAATTTGTGTATTTATTGAAAAATTTTATTAAAACAGAAACGAAAAATTGCTTATTAATATTTTATTAATAAAATTGTCTATAAGATTTTTTTGTAAGCTATTATATAAAATTAATTTTGATAGGAAATAGGAAGAAAAGAAAAGAAATAAATGATCATTTAAATAAATTTTAAAATCTCATTTATATTCCATTATATATGTATATATTCCAACCGTTTGACATATTATTTGAGAGATATCTTACTATTTAAGAGATAAAAAATGAAAATTAATTATTTAAATATTTCGCTTTAAGCACTACCTATTCATTTTTTAAATAGTATTATATAATCAATGTATAATCTGATTGAGAAATAATTAAAAAAAAAAAATAAATAAAAATATGCAAAATCATTTATTATAATAATTAGAGAGAGAAACTTTAAAGTAAAAATAGCATAGATACATATTTATAATATAAAAAGGTAACGTACATTCATTATTTATTCAATTCTCATTATATACTTCAAGAGTATATATACAAGACATACTTCGAATTTTATTCATTTTAAATCGATATATCTAAACGAAAAATGAGAACGATTTTGGTTATTTCTGCTATTTGTGTTTGCGTTGGTGCATTGGTAACAGTTCAAATATTTTTAATTTTATTCACATTTATCATTTCTATAATTTAACATTTCTATCTAAATTTTAATTTTTATTTCTATTTATGTCTTAAAAAAATATTTACAATTAATTACTTATATCTGTACTACTAAATTACTTATATCTGTAATATCTGTAATAGATTATTTTATCTGTAATAGATTATTTCCCTTTTATTATAAATTTGTTATATTTAATTTATACTTAGTAATATTACTTTTTTATAGTTAGTTTTTATATTATAATATTATTAAACCTTTCGAGTTTGCGTATTTCCAAAATAATAAATAACCAATAACAGTAATTAGAAATTTTAATTATTATTTCTGTAATATAAAATAATTTTAAAATGATTAAATGATAAATATATTTCAAATAAAACATTCAAATGTTCAACAATCAAACATGTTCAATATTAGTGTATTGTGTCTTTTTTATCAAAATATTTTTCTATTAATAGATCAATTAACAGAGAAGAACCTTTTCTACTATAAAATGAAAAATTTGATATTTGAAGCAATTTGTGTTTATATATCATTTGCTATTTATTATTTTTTTATGATAAAATTTTTGTTGAATTTATTTTTGATCTCTTTATGTTTCCATAAGTTAATATTAATTTTATAATCTTTATCAATTTTACGATCGCATTGTTTTATTTTGATAATAAAAATTAGGATAATAATGTAATAATTTTTATTATTACACTATTTCGATTGAAAATTTTTTTTTTTGAATTTTTGAGAGATATCTATTTTTACATACTTAAATATAAAGGCAAAAACGGTGGAATATTATTTTTAATGAATCGAGCGATAGTTTTTAGAGTTCATTATTTTGATTATGTTATGATACTATAAATAAAAATACTATTATGAAAAACTTTGTTAATATTAAGATAAATAGAAAATATACTTGTAAAATATACATATATATAATATAGTATAATATATAATATATAATATATAATAATACAATTTATGTAATGTACATTAAAAATAAGTTTATGTTTAATAAAAATTAATTTAATAAATAAATAATTATTTTAAAAAGTATTTTATTTAACTAATACATAAAGTTATTTTGATAATATATTTTAATGTTTTTTTTAGACGATTAAAGAATTTCAAGTAGTGCTCCGTCATGGACAATCAATGTGCAGCGCAGAAACTGGTGTTAATCAACGTAAATTGCAAATAATGAAAACAAGATATATAAATAATAATATTTCTAATTAATTTTTTTATTCGAATTTCAGAAATAGTAGATGATGTTAATGATGGCAACATCAATATGGAAGACGAAAATGTTCAATTATACATTGAATGTACGATGAAAAAATTCAATATCGTTAGTACAACTAATATTATTACTTAAATAGAATTATATATATATATATTATATATATGGAAATATTAAAAATATATATATATGGAAATATTAAAGAAACTATTGTCATTTTTCGGCAACAGGTTGACAAGGACGGAAATTTCAACGAAAATGGAACCAAAGAAACAATAAAAATATTTTTAGATGAAAATGAAATTAATCAATTAGTCACCGAATGTTCACCTATTTGTAAGTAAAAATTATTAATGAAAAAATACAATTCTTTATATATTATATATTTTAATTACTACATAAATTTTTAATAATTTATTTATTATTTTTTACATTTATCATTACAGCTGATACCAATGTACGTGTCAAAATTAGTAAGATATATCAATGTTTTACGAAATATAAAACATTAACAGAAGTACTAAATGCCTAAATGTTCAATTATCAAAAAGAAGAGATTTATTCAGAATACTTATTTCTTATTTTAATTGATTTTTTAATTTATTTTAATTATTTAAATTGATTAAATCAATTAATAATTAATTAAATTAAAAATATTTGGGGATTATTAATAAATTAATAATTGTTAATAATAATTATCAATAAATTGGTGTATGGTTATTTAAGTTTGGTGTTTAAGTTTTTTACCTATCTATTAAATTATACTTCTCCGTTTTTCCAAATTTTTTATTTCGCAATCTATTTTGTAATTTTTCTATATTAAAATTGAGAACTATCGAATTTTATTCTAAAATAAATTATTTTGTTATTTATAAAAATTATCAAAATATATAAGATTTTAAATTAAATATTTAGATTGCAATTTTAGTCACAATACGAATTATTAATAAAGTACAAAATAGATTTATCATTTCAAAAGACTTAAATAAGATTGATTTTGTTATTAATATAGATTATAATATATATAATATGTATATAATCATATAAGTATGACATAAAACATAATGTAAATTATGTTTTTGGTTCTAGACGTACTAAGAAAATCGATCAAATATTAATGAAACCAATCGTTTATATTGTTTTTACTCTTTATTATTATCGTTTATTATTTCGATTATAATATTCATGTCTGATTTTTGATTTATATTTAAATTTTAAATAAATTTTATAAGAAAATTAACTAATTAATAACATTTAATGACAAAAATGTAATTAGTTTCTTTTTATTATAAATTAAGTGAGACTTAAATGTTGTTTTCTTTTTCTTTGTTTATGTATAATTCATATTTATAAAAATTCATTTATTTTAATAATATTTTTTATTTGATTAATTAAAAAATAATTTCTAATTAATACTTAGCAAAAGGTATTAATAAAACATAATTATACTTATAAAAGAAAAAAAATTATAAAAAAAATTTTAAAAATTGAAATTTGATTTAAAAATTGAATTTTGATTTAGTTTGCACAATTTTTTTAATTTAATTTAAATTAAAAAAAAATTAATTATTCAAACATTTTTTATCGTTTTAATTAGTATGTTCTTTTATTCTTCGAATATTCTTATATAATTGATGCATAATCCGATATGTTCTTGGGAAATATTAATTTGTTGAAAAAAAAGAAAAAAAAATCATTTATTGTAATAATAGAAAAAGAAATCATAAGATAGAAATAGATAATATAGAAATATATAACATGTATGTACTGTATTACATATATTATAGTATAAAAAGGCATTGCATATTCAATGTTTATTCAGTTCTCATTGAATATCTTTTAAAAATATTCGAATCTTGTTTATTTAAAATCGATATATCTAAAAGAAAAATGAAAACGATTGTGATTATTTCTGCTATTTGCGTTTGCGTTGCTGCAATGGTAATGATTCAAATATTTTTAACTTTATCCATATTTAGCATAATTTATATTTAGCATCTCTATTTAAGTTTTAACTTTTATTTCAATGTTGATGTCTTTAAAAATATTTATAATTATCGCAACTTATATTTTTACAATAGATTATATCCTTTTTAATAAATATCCTTTTTAATAAAAATCCTTTTTAATAAATTTTTTACATTAAATTTATTTTTAACGACACTATTTTTTCATTGATACTTGTATAATATTCTTAACTCTACTATATTTCAGTATTTATAAAGTAATAAATAATAAGTTAGAAATAATTACTAATTTAATTTCTAATTTATTATTTAGTAATTTTAATTAGTCTTGAAATTAAAAAAATTATAAAACGATAAATATATTTCGATAAAACATTTGTTTCAAATATATTCAATATTATTTTATTATGACTTCTTTACCAAAAAATTTTTCTATTATCTATAATATATTTTCTATAATCAATTAACAAAAAAAAAAACTTTTTCCACTATGAAATGAAAAGTTTGATTTCTTTTTAAATTATTATATTTATATTTGCCATTTAATAATTTTTTATGGTAAAATTCTTATATTAAATTTTAAATCTCTTTATATTTTTTCATAAATATATTAATTTTACAATCGATTTTACGTTTTATTTCTTTTATAATAAAAATTGGGATGTATTAATTTTTAATTATTATGATTAAAAATCTTTTTTTTTTTTTGAATTCTTGAAAGATATTTATTTCTGAATAATTAAATGTAATGGCAAAAATGATGGAATATTATTTTTAACATGAATCGAGCGATAGTTTTAGAGTTCATTATTTTGATTATGTTATGATACTATAAATATAAATACTATTAGCAACTACAGATACTATTAACTATTAACTTATTAGCAATTATAGATATTATTAATTTTGTTAATATTTAAGATTATATTTATATGGATATATTTATATGGAAGATCTTTAAATATATATATATAAGAATAGATATTAAGAATTTTAGGAATAATTATAAGTTTAATAAAAATTATTTTAATAAATAAATTATTATTTTAAAAATATTTTATTTAACTCATACATAAAGTTTATAATAGATTTTAATATCTTTTTTAGACAGATGAGGAATTAAAAACTGGATTACGTACTCTACAGCCAATTTGCATGGCAGAAAGTGGCGCTAGTCAACGTAAGTTGCATATAATGGAAACAAAATATATAAATAATAATATTTCTAATTAATTTTTTTATTCGAATTTCAGAAATAATAGATGACATTTATAGTGGCAACATTAATTTAGATGATGAAAATGTTCAATCATATGTTGAATGTATGATGAAAAAATTTAATATTGTTAGTATAATAATATTATTACTTAAATAAAATTGTACATATGTACACATAGAAAATAAATTAATAAATAAAAAAATTATTGTCCTTTTTGCAACAGGTTGACGAGAATGGAAATTTTAAGGAAAAAGATACCAGAGATATTGGGGGAGCAGTTTTAAATGAGGATGAAGTTAATCAATTAATCACAGAATGTTCACCTATCTGTAAGTAAAAAATTATTAATGAAAAAATAAAATTCTTTTATAATATATTATGTATTTTAATTATTACATGAAACTTTGAATAAATTATTTATTATTGTTTTTTTACATTACAGCTGATACTAATGTACGTATAAAAATTAGTAAGATATTACAATGTTTTGCGAAATATATAACAATAAATAATATACTAAATTCCTAAATGTTTAACTATCAAGAGCAAGAGATTTGTTCAGTATATAGTATATTTACTTTCTATTTTAATTGATTATTTTATTTATTTTAATTAATTAAAATATATTTGAAAAGTTTTATTAATAAATCAATATTATTATCAATTATTAATAAATTAATGTATGATTATTTAACGTATTTAAATTTTTAATTTTCGATTTATTGAATTACTTCCTCGTTTTTCCAAATTTTTATATTTTTATTAGTGGTCTGATATGCTAATTATACTATCAAATTTTTTTATTTTGTAATTTATTTTAAAATTTTCCTATATTAAAATTGGAAACTATTCTTTTTTCTAAAATATTTTTTAATTTATTTTCTAAAATATTTTTTTATTACTTTATTTATTTTTAATTTATTCTAAAATAAATTATTCGGTTATTTATAAAAATTATAGAAGATACATAATATTTTAGATTAAAGTTGTAATTTTAATTGTAAAATAAATTATTGATAAAGTATAAGATAGATTTATCATTTTAAGAAACTTAAACTTAAATAAGATTGATAAAATTATTATTATAAATTATCGAAATTATGTTTTCGACTCTAGGTGCATTAAGAATATCAAATTTATATTGGTTTTTATTATTATTATATCATATGTGTATTATTATTATGTCTATTATAATATTTGTGCTTGATTTTTAATTATATTTAAATTTTAAATAAATTTTATAAGAAAATGAATTATACTATAATAACATAGACGTAATTAATTCCTTTTTATTATCAATTAAATAAGACTTAAATTTTATAATTTCATTTCTTTTTACATTAATTAATATCTTATTATTATTATTATTAATTTTTTTACAACTAGAATAATCTTAAATAAACAAATATTTTTGATATAAATTATAAATATTATTAAAAAAAAACAAATTCTTTATTATTAACAAATCTTAAAAAAAATAAACCATTGATTTATAATCACAATATTATTATTATATATATTATATTATATTATATATATACATTATAATCATCTAACACTACACTGATTTATAATCATTCATTCCGTCATTAGTGTAATAAATTTCATATTTCTCAGAAGTAAGAAGTAATTATTCTATTATTCCATTGTTAGATGAAAAAATAAAATTCATAATATGATTTATTTATGAACACATGATTTTTCTCATCTTGTATAACATATTCAAATGGATGGATGTATATATGGAAATTTTCTATTACATATTGAAATAAATGCAAATAATTGAAATAAATTCAAATCGAATATATGTGTGTATGAAAATTTTCTGTTACAGTATATTGAAATAAATGCAATGAAAATTATAAGTTCTTCCAGATTATTGTGGGATAAAATTAATGTGGGACAAAAAAACAATAGAATAAAACTTGTATTTGCAATAAAAAAAATAGTTATTTCTTTATATTCATAATAATAATATTTCATTTCATTATGGAAATTATCGACGAAGATTTGTGAAAAAATGTATTTAATAAAAGTCTGTAAAATTTTATGTATTGTATGTATTTTATGTAAAATATATTTAATAAATGTCTGTAAAATTTTATGTTAATAAATATATATAAATACATTTATAACTATTTTCTAATTATATAAATATTA